GTAAAGTATAAGCTGTCATTTGGAGTTCGGCAGCTTCTAAATCATATAAATATATATATATATATATATAGAGAGAGAGATGAGCTATTTGGTGGTTCCCATAAAAACATGAGTTTGGAAACAAAATGTTTAATTTGTTTTCTATACTGAAAATGATAGATATGCTACATAAGGCACTTGTAGGTATCGTTAGGGCTTTATCTCTATTAGACCACCTCAGGGACACAAAATAAGGTACACACTTTCAAGTTCTCTAAAATTGGTCGTCAGAAAAGTATGGATTCTGGAGCAAGTTTCAGTGTGATGGAGCCAAATTTGAATACCTTCAGCCTATTACTACATTCCACCTTGAGAGTTTAACAAAATGTAGACCTCATTACATGAAAATTAGTCCCTCCACACCCTGTGCTCATTTTTTTCTTGATCATCTTGCCCAATAGACTTGCATACTGTCTAGGTAAAGAATTTTGGGCTGATATGTCTAGCTTTGCTCATTGTAGGAAAAAGCATCTTTTCAATGCCTTCTGAATTAACATGTACATCTCTGGGGCCAGAAATACATAGAGTTCTGTTCCCCAGTTAATTTAAGAACAAATCAATCAACTGAATACATTTCATTTATCATTTAATTTGGATCTTTTATTTTGAATGCAAGATTCTAACACATATAAGACTGGTGCATAAATAACAGTTATATTTAAAGCAAGACAATATAGATTTTAGTTGAGGGGGATGTGTAAGTTTTTTTTTTTTACATATGGCACTGAAAGTCTGTATCACTGCATGATTTATCTTAAGGGAGGATAGAAAAAAATAAACTTTTCCATGCATACATAAGTTACACTGTTTGTGAGCCCTGAAGATGACAGGAGGAGTTATTTGCATTGTTTTTACATATTAAAGAGTTTGAATCCCATAAATCGTGGGTGGTAGGGTATACATAGGGCCTAATTCCAAAATCTGATACAGGATTTATACTCCTTAGAATTTTGCTTTTTAGAAACAGGTTTATAATTTTGATAGCAGTAGAGAAAGAATGTTTAAGCAACATCTAGCAACATCTAAAAAATAAGAGAACTAATTTTAGGATCCAGAGAAAGATTCTAACACAGAATCCCTGTCTTTCTCCATCATCACTGTATCATCTCTCTTTCCCTTGTCCAATTATTCTTTCAAATTATATGTAACAGTTATACATGAACTACGCCACATAAGCCAAAGACAAGAAATTTAATTTCCTCATGTAGTTATTAAATAACACAAATTTCCTTGTTTCACAACTGAATGCTTATTTAAGAATGTCAATATTTAACAATGAAAAAAAAATTGCTATTAATTACTGAAGAGAAGGCACTTTTCAGAGAACAGACCACCTAGCCACCAAAAATAAAGCTGCATCTGAAAGGCCAGCTGAATTGCATCCCAAGCCCCTAAGAACTTGTAGATATGATCTCAAAGCTTCTGCCCACAATTTCTTGAATTTTTGGAATATAAGTACAGCGCCATGAGATTGGAGATGTACAAATATCGTCCATATCACCAGAATGGAAGCCAGTACCAGGTGGTCAGCATAAAGCTGGCTTCCTGGAACAGTTCTAGAATAAGTCCTAAAGAAGTCTTGAATGTGCTGTTGTAAAATGGATTAGAGCAGAATTTTTCAAACTGTGTTCCACAACAACTTGTTGGGGTTCGTGAGAGATTAAAAGTTAAAAAAAAAAAAAAAGGTTCACTCAGACACAGCCAATTTTGTATCACGAGAGCTTTGATTCTTTTGATTTTTTTTTTAACTAGCAAGTGCCACAGTGTGAAAGAATTTGAAAACCCCCGGACTACATGATGCAACTGTGGCATGGATTTATAATGGATCAGACACAAACAGTGCTTATCAACTTGGAAAAAAATGACTGATGATAATCATCAGCTGATTATCAGAGCTGATGGATTCTCTTTTGGGCTTAGATGACACCAAAGTGGGAGAAGCTAATATACCAGAAGACAGAAATAGGGTTCATGCAGATTTTGACAAAATATAAAAGTGTCCCCAAACTAACAAAACAAAATTTAAAATAGCTCCCAACTACTGTAATGGATTGGATGAGGACCAATAAATTGAAATTCCATACAGATAAAATGGAGGTACTAATGGTGACCTCTTCTGCCTAGTGAGTATTATTCAACACATTCTGGAGTGGCTTGGACACCCACTGAAAAATCATTTTGAGGAATGCTCCTGTATTTCATCATTTTCATTTAAAGAATTAA